GATTAAAAAAATAAAAATAAACAAAAATCCATAAAAATAAAAATAAAACTCTCTCTCATAAAAAAGAAAGAGTTTTATATAAAAGAGCAATTGTATATTGAGAAAACATCCCAGCCCAGTTCAGATCAAGTCCATAAGTCTGATATCAGCCCAGATGTCCGATATTAGTCCATAAATTCCTCTTTAGACTCACGCAGCACATGCAATGATGACGAATGCAGGACCATCACAGGCCAGTGGGTACAAAGTCGTGTGGATCCAGTGGCAGTGGAAGCATCTCAATGCTGGTGCGGGTCTCCACGAGTCTCCTCCAGCTCTCTGAGTGTCTCTGGAGGAGACTCGTGGAAAGGGGAGACAGAGAGAGTAGGTCTGGCCGCCAGTGAGCTATTTCTCTCCATTACACCTCCAAATGAGGTAGTCAAGTTGACAGGCTAGACTCCACCTCTTTGCTCAAGTTGAAAGGAGATTATGTAACTGCCACATATTAGTTCAAATGCATCATATATCTATATATGTATATATACTTATAAGTATATATAGAAGTACACACACACAAACATTTACTCCTCTCTTGGTGACCTCAAATTACTTCATGTTCAATCCACCTTTTCAAAGTGGATACTTCACACTTTACATACTACATACAACTTTTTCTCTAGTTTTCATTTAAAATGCACCTGCATATGGACATTTATAGTGATCAAACTAATGAATCTTAGATCTGCAAGATGTTGTATACACATTAAGTCCATGGTCTTGAGCCGGAGTTTATAGAAATGTGTTGTTGCATCATTTCTCCACGGTCCTTTGTTCCAAAGTTAACAATTCTTGTCCAAAGAAGATACTAGGCATTGAGTGACGCATAAAAAAACTCAAGCCATCCTACCTGCCAGGCTGAATCCGCAGAGAAGGAGCAGCCCCAGGGCCGAGGTCCACGTCATCGCCGAATTACCACGGGCAGGTTGGGGCAAGAGCTGGAAGTGTCATCGGTCAAGGGTCAGTTTGCTTCTGGTCACGCTCATGAACTCTATTTCTAGTTACATTAAGCAGCTTCTGGGACTTAGGAGCGGGGAAGAATTATTGGTTCCTTTCTTGTTTTTGATTTGTTCTTTACTTGTGATTTGAGTGAAAGTTTACAGAACAAATTGGTTTTCCATTCCACATATCATATACATTTTGTTTGGTGGCGTCATTCTTGTCTTCTGAGACTCATCCCTGATAAAATGCTGCTCTTTTGATTTTATATGGTTGGTTGTGCGAAGGGGGGTATACTTTCCTAATGTTCATGCTATGGCCAATTACAATGACTTTTCCTTTTATTCATAAAGCACTGCCATCAGATGGATCTCAACTCACAGGGACCTGATAGGGCAGGGTAGAACTGCCCCTGTGGGTTTCCAAGATCTGATTCAAACTTCTGACCTTGCAGTTAACATCTCAATGCATAACCCACTACACCCACATGGCTCCTGCACTCCACTCTGCTGTAGAAAAAGCACACCAGTCACCAAAAGGGTGATCCAGAAAAAAGTCCTGTGTGTTCTCTGGCCTCCACCAGGGTTCTTGAGCTAGCCAACCAGGTGGTACAGTACTATGCTATTATGCGTCTTGTCTTTGGCCACTCAGGTCTCTCTGCCTAGAATGCCTGTCCCACCTTTTCCTGGTAAATTGACGCATCCTTCTAGAGTCATACAAAGGTTTCCCTTCTCTGAGAGGATAATGTCGACCAGCCAGTCCCTTCTTTGGGCTCCCACAACTCCCCAGCAGCTGTACTTCCACTGCTGTCTCTGCCATCCGCGAGGGCATCTCACCACATACAGGGAAGCCCTCCAAAGTGGCGCCTCTCATCGATCTCTTTGAAGTCTGAGTATTTAAGACATTGCCTGGCACATGGTTGTCATTGTTGTGTGCCTTACAGTCAATTCGAACACAACAACCCTATAGGACAGAGTGAATGACTTCATGGTGTAGTACTTGGAAAACTTGTCTGCCACTATCCACGGATTGCAGAGCCACGTATAAACATGTTGTACTTGAAATAAACTCTTGCATGTATGAACTGTAACCTTCCTAGCAAGAGACCATAAAACCAAACTCACAGCTCTGGAGTCAATGCTGACTCATAGTAACTCCCTAGGACAAGGTAGAACTGTCCTGTACATTTCCAAGACTGTAACTAGTCATGGGAATATAAAGCCCCGTCTTTCTGCTGAGAAGCAGCTGGTGGTTTCCAACTGCCAACCTTTCAGATAGCAGCCCAATGTGTAACCACTACACCACCGGGACTCCACAAGCAGTACTTTTTTTAAAAATTACCTTTGTATAGAATTGGGTGTTTATATGCTTGATAAAGAAGGAGGCGTTAAATCCTAGGACCGGCACTCTGGGCACCATGCTAAAGCGGGTGGAGTGGGAATTAAGCAAAAAGATGCCCAGCCTCCCTGGGTGACTCGGAATTTCTCACAGCCCAGCAGGCTGTGGGTTATCGTGTTACTTTTATTCGTCAGCTGGAAGGAGCCTCTGTGCTTAATCTCTTCTTAACATACATAGACTTGTAACCTACAGTGAGAATAATAGTAATAGTAATGTTGTTATGTTGTGAGTTGGACTGCAATCCACAAGGTTTTCAGTTCAAAACCACCAGCTGCTGTGAGAGAGAAAGACGGGACTTTCTACTCCTGCAAAGAATTACAGCCTCGGAAACTCACAAGGGCGGTTCTACCCAGTCCCATAGGGTGGCGCTATGAGTCAGCATCAACTTGATGCCAGTGAGCTGTTGGTTTTGGGGGGGACTGTTTTCAAAGCATTTTCACATATTACTGCATTTGATACTTGTCACCTTAGAGGCAGTTATTTTAGGTTGAATTATAGGAAATTGCTACTCTCCTAAGTTAAAACCATCAATTTCAGCCTAATAAACTAATAGGATCCTTCTCTCTTTTTTGGATGAGAAAAGCAAGAATCTTGCCCAAGATGAAGTGAAGAGGTGTCAGATCATTACAGTCTATTTCAAAGTCCGTAAATCCATTTGGGTGTGGACTGCTTTCATACACAGAACATTCGGAAACGGCCAGCGGCAAGACTGGCAAAAACAGCAACCGAACAGTGAGCACGAGTCACCTATTGTACCCTACCCAATTCCAACCCCTAACGTGCCTGCAGGAGAGAGTAGAACTGCCCCTTAGGGGGTGTCCACGGCTGAAATCTTGACAAAAGCAGACGGTCTCAGCTCTCCCTTAGCAAGCAGCCCTAAGGGAACTGCCAACCACCGGTTTAGAGCTGAGCATTTAACCGCTACAGCGCCAGAGCCTCTTACTGAGAGCTTGATAGGAAAATTAACACTCAAGAGATAACACTGCCAACACACACTTTGCTGCCTCAACTGTTAGATTTGCTTCAGGATAGGTTTGACCTGCTGATTCCAAATATGCTACCAGTTTTCCCTCATCAGCTCTAATTTTTGAGATACATCAAATATGCTGTAAACCCCTCCACTCTGCTGGCACATGAAAAGTTAGCTATTTCAATGTAGTGTTCGCGAGGGTGAGCTGGAGGAAGTACATGCTGGCTTTACTGAAAGCAGTCTGTTGTACTAAACATCTAAGTCAAGTTATAATTCACACGGTGTCCTTGGAGCCAAAGATCTATTTAAACAGCACAAATTACATAAACTTGGAATTGTACCCCATTTTCACTTCACCTTGATTAGGAACTGATTAGCAGGCAGTTCCAAGTTGTTATCTTTAAAAGGGGCCAGAAATAAGAGTTATTGCACAATAAATTAGGAACCCTGATGGCATAGTGGATTATGTGTTTGACTGCTAACCACAAGGTCAGCTGTTCGAGCCCACCAATGCTCTGCAAGAAACAGATAATACATTCTGCTCCCATAAAGATGGGCAGCCTCAAAACACACAGGAGAAGCTCTCTCTACCCTATAGGGTTGGATTTCACAATCAACTGGCTACTAGTGAGTTTGGTACAATAAATATAGATTCAAAAGTTCTGAAGCCCAAAATGGGTCTGTCAGGGTGCAAAGTCTTTGATTAAAATTAAAATGTTCCAGTCTGCCTTTAAAATGGCACAACTTTCCCACCTGTGCACAGAAACTCTGAAACGTTAGAATTTTTTTCTAAAGAAGCTTGGAGTCAACCTCTCCTCTGAAACATTTAGCATGAATTACCCACTGACTTCTCTATCTTAAAATGTGTTCTGAAATGTTTACTGCATACTTTGCAGTAAAGATCAAAGAAAAATTAGATCTTCAAAATATATTTTTAAATTGCTATGAAGTCTTACTTTTTTTGGATCTCTACATTGCCCTCAGGAACCCTGGTGGCATGATGGTTCCTCCTTGAGTTTTGATTTGCAAGGTCAGTGGTTCCAAACCATCAGCCCACTACAAAGGAGGAAGGAGTCTTGAAGACCCACAGGGGCAGCTCTGCCTGTCCTACAGGCCCACTGTGAGTGGCAGTGAGTTTGGTTTTCCTTTTTGGGAATTAGCCTCACATCTTCCATATATGTGCCTTTTCAATTTCCCTTTTTATTTTCCACTCTTCTCAAGCTGAGCTCTGGCTTTGCAGTATCCAACTTGTAGTCTCCGTATATATTGCCCAGCCTCCCATATCAAAAAGAAAATCTACTGCCAGCTAATCAATTCTAACTCACAGTGACCCCACAGAGAGGACATGCCCCTTTGGTTTCCAAATCTGTAACTCTATTAGAGACTTCAGAATGATGGGTGGGTTTGAACCACTGACCTTGTGATTGGCAGCTCAATGTGTAACCAACTAGCCACCATGGGTCTATGTACAGGTTCCCTTGGAAGTCCTTTAATACCTAATTCTTTTTCAAATATGTCTTACTACTTTTGTGTTACCCCATAATTTGTGGGTCTGATTCATTTCATATTTAAAAACAGGAAGATAATGAAATAGTGGAACAGACAATATAGTGGAACAACATATCTAAGAACTGGAACTGATTCAGTCTATCTTATGCAATTTTCTGAATCAGAGCCCCAAATAACCCCAGGAACAGGTCAAAACACCAAGAAAAATATTTTTTTGGTTGAGCTGTGTATCAACCCAAATATTATGTAGTTTTAAAGTGGTATAGCCAAGATTTGAATCCTAGATTCTCTCCTATAAAATCTTACAGTAATTATTAGTAAACTACTTTCCTCCTCAGCCTTCCCGCCATGAATCACCAATACACACAAGGCTTTTCCTTCTTGGTTCCCCAAGTCTAATGAGCTCTAGCCTAGATTTCCCTGAAAGATAAATCTACTATGTTCAGATATTTTCTCCAACCCTCTGGCCATATATATGTGACTACCAATCCTATATCCAGTTGCTATGAGTCTGAATCAACTGGGCAGTGGAGTTTGGTTTGGGGACTACCAACAATAGAGTCCCTCTAAATGTCAACTCCCAACCTAACAAAGGAATAATTTCAGTGACAATGTCTGACTCAGACCTTCACTGAAGAAACAGAATCCCCAATAAAGTAGAAAAAGAGGCTGAATTTGTCACCTTTTCAGTTATTAGAGGCTTCGAAATGAATTTCGCACTCACCTCCATGGAGGTCCCGCTGATTCAAAAGACCGTCCTCCTCACGACACGAGTCAGGCCAGGAAGGGCGAGCTGGACCACATCAAGAGATGTGACTATTTCGTTTCTGGTTACCCCAGGGTTTTTCTTGTGCTTTGAAGCCCAGCCCACACCAAGGTGGCATGTACTCATTAATACTAAGAAGAGGAATGCATTATTGTGGCTTTAAGAGACTCCAAATCATCAATTTTACCGGAATCTAAGAAATAAAGGGAGTGCCTAAGCCTTGAACTGGAACTTTCTATTGAGAACGCCTTTACAAATTGGATAATGGGTAAATATTGAAAGTGCCTCTAGTCTGAAAAGAGCGATATGCCATTATGTAACTTTCTTCTGATGAAGAAGGAGATGAAGGAAAGGCAGCTAACTCTAAAAAGAAATTTTACTTATTTCTAAAGAAGAGCACAGTGAATGAAGAATAAAGAGCCTACCTGAATCATTATTATTATTAATAATAATAATAATAACATATGGGACTCTTGTTTTATGTCAGGTACAGTGCCAAGCAGTTTAAATTACTTTTCTCAATTAATCTTCACAAAATCCTATAACATGGGTAGCATTTATTCTCCATTTACAGATGAGAAAACCAAGGCCCAGTAGTGGAGAAACTTGCCCAAAGAGGTGGATCCAGGAGTTGGATCAGGGCAGACTGACCAGTGTCCATGAAATCAAAGTGTTAACTGAGAGGACCTCTACAATTTCTGAAAACACTATATGATTTTATGTTTTTACAAGATTTTACAACTGGTTGACAAAATCATAAAGAAATAAACAGAGGAGGGACGATATTATGATACAAAATGAAAGAAACTCAATCTAGGCTTCAAAGCAAGGTAAGCTTTCCAGTGTTGTGTTGTTTTTGCGTTAAACCATTTCTGATCTTCCGCAAGCTTTGGTCAACCAGCCAGGAGATTTTAGCAGGAGAAAATGGGTAGTTCTTCTACCTAGTAGATTATGAATATTAAAAATCCCATTATAATGAATGATGTGGGATAGCTAAACTTTAACATTTGTTGATCAGAAGGCATTCCTCTGTTTAACCAATCTTTATCCAACACCTTGTGGTGGTTAAGGTTGTGTGTCACCTTGACTAGTCCTTGCTTTTCAGTAATCCAGCAGTTATGATGTAGTGTGGCAGTTATACAATGATATAATTGAGCAGTTGTGAGATGATGTCGTCATCTTCCATTATGAGATCCTATCATGCAATCATCTTCATGGTGAGGTCTGCTATGAGCAGCCAATCAACTAAAAAGGAGTTCCCTCAGGGATGTGGCCTGTCTCCAATATGTATGAAAAGCTCTCTGGCTTTTTTGTTCACTCTGGAAATCTTGAGATCAGATGATGAAACAATGTGTGTGTGTGTATGCAATACACACACACATATAAACTTTACTGGTTTTGCTTCTTTAGCGAATACAGCCTAATACGCATCAATTATATGGACAGCACCTGACTAAAGGTGTTGCGTATGGATTATCATTCTGGTTACTACATGGATGGCTGAACATATGCATTTATCTTCATCCCTCAGGAAACAGCACTATATAAGAAAGGCACAGAGCCACAAAGATTTTTTAAAAATGGGATTAAAGACACCTGCAAATAAGATATGTCAACAAACTTTTGGAAAATGGAAACTGGATCACAGGGTGACTGAACTGGTAAAGACAGGAAAGCTGAACCTTCAAAATATTCACAAAAGAGATACCAACAAGAAGCAAGCATAAAAATGCAATGCACTCCCACAAAGTCTCAAGAATTTGCAACATCAAGTAG